GAGTTAGAGGTGGGTGGTAACATATGCCCCCCCCCCCCCCCCCCACTAGGGCGAAGTTGGCTGAGACCGCCACTGGGGCGCGGGTTAAGTGACTATGCTTATTTTTTTTTTAAAGTTAGGTCATTCGACATTGCCTGATGACCTTGCTTTTAGCGACTATGGTTTGCATTTTATAGAGCACGTGGAAGAGCAATTTACCAAAAGGTGTGCCCCTTTCGCTCACCCAGTTCCCTCCCCCAACAGGAAAAACGGAAGCTCGTAGTGTAGTGGCACCTTTTTCTCTTTTTTTTTGTTTACCGCATGTCTGAAGAAACGTCCTGGCGCGGGTTAATCTCACACGTGACGAAAAGGTTGCAAGTGATGGCATAGGTACTATAGTTCCTACTAAAGAAGTGTTGTTGAAGTGCGCGCCGAAGGCGCGCGAAATTTTCGAAAACAACCTTTTCCTCCGCTTTTTAGGCACATCTTTTACATGCTCACTGTTCAAAGCTCTTCTCGCTCTTTTACCAAATTTGAAGTTGTACTGTAAAAATGCCTAAGGTTTAGTGGGGCCGGTGCAGGGCCTCGTCTAAGGAATTTTCACTGGGGGGGGGGGGGCAGAGACTGAAGGAGCCAAACCTAGGGTACCCCCAAATCCTGTTTTCTCACCGGATTTAGACCACTTATTTTTCATCACAGCCCTGACACCATGAATATTTTTTTTTACTAAAAAAAAAATAGTAGGCCATCCGACCCATGCTTGTATATTAGTTTATAGCCTCCTCACATTGCCTCATCAGACAATAATAATCACACTTCTCCTTGGTGAGCGTGTGTTTGAGTGGCAGTGCCGTGTCTAAGGAATTTGCATGCCGAGCCTATGTCGAGGGCCAATACGCATTTTTTTAGAACCACATCAGTTTCTGATGGTTCCCTCTGAGCGCTCGATGCCGATCTCTGAGGGCTAATGCCAGCTTCTGGACCTATGTCGGCCTCTATGGTAGCCCACACTGGTTTTATATGATCCATACCAGGCTTTAAGGGTCAATCTGAGTGGAGACCGTATTTTCCCACTAGGGCCCCTCAGACCAGTGTAATGCCTGTGTATCAACTTGGAGACTGATGGCTTCTCAGGTGGATTCTCCGTAATCGCCGTGGATCTTCGACACAACCTTAAGGTCGTCAGAGGCTATAAACTAAACAAAAATGAAGATAGCAGTGCTTTGAGGCCCGTTGGGACCTGAAGTGGCTGGCATTTGCCCTCCAGGACTCCATGCCGACTTCTTTAGATAATCCAGCTGTCAGAGTTCCCGTCCCCACAGACAGACCACCAACCTGGCATCTGCGCCTACGTACGACCACCCAGAACGGGAGCCTGCTTCATTACGATTAGGAGCTACTCTAGCCGCACACCGGTGACCGTCCAGCCAGAAGTTGGACGCTGCATAGCGAGGACGACGATAGGCAAAAACAAGGGATTGACGCCCCGAGGACAGAAACAACAGAGTGATACCTAAAGGAGAAATTTTTGCCGGTAGAGCCTTGGACTCCGCGTGGTGAGGGCACGCGTCCCGGTTATAACAGTCCAGGTTCGAAGCGCGACATCGCTCGATCTTTATGAGCCTCCTGGCGAGTATGGTTACGGTTGGTGGCAGGCCGTAGCCATTCGAAGTCAGTGAGGGGACCGGCCGTGCGCGGCTATGTGCATACGAACCTTTGGGCTCTAAATTCTGTCATAGATCACGAATTGCGCGATCGGAGGGTAGAGGGCAGGGCCAACGCAAAGCTCTGCTTAGCGGGGGCTCTGTACTTGTCAATCCTTCCATTCAAAAGGTTCGGACTAAATTAATGAAAAAAGAATGTCCGGGACACGGAGTTGGGCGCCTGAAAAGACGAAATGTAACGTATTGCTCAGCGAAAAAAAATGGTTCAGGTAAACAAAACAAACACATAACAGCCCTAGGTAATGGGGTATTTCAATGTGCTCACATTGCATCGTTTCGTTTAAGCATTTGCTTTTATGTGCACCCACGCCTCGAAATAAAAATTCGTTTGCCTTTTGACTATTGCCGGCCCCCCCAGTAGGGACTTTTTGCCCTGACTGGGGGGGCCAGGTCGATGACTGCGGGGGTTTGGCCCCCCCAGTTAACATGTTAGACGAGGCCTTGGGCCGGTGCCACACAAACTGTATAGGAAGCTTCGCCCATGAGTGACGTTGTAGAAAAGTTTATTGGCGGTGGCATACACACCAGACCACCATATCGGATTGATACCGGAGCGCGAGGTGCGTAAACACAAGCGCACAACGAGAAGGCGGCAGCAAAAGAAAGATAAACCATAACCCGCGCCCGGCTGGGGGTCCTGGATTTCCACGCCCTGCTGGGGGGGGGGGTGTTTGAACACCCCCTCTTCTAACTCGGTTCCTGGGCCACGTAGCGATACGCGGAAGGCGGCTTTCGAAAGAGCGTCAAAAATAATGACGAAATCACTTCGGTCAATTTTTTGGTCAGGTCAAAGGTCAGGTCACCAGAGGTCATTGAAGGCAAAACTTCGCCGATTTCCAGGTCGAATGTCGACAATTTCCAAGAAGCCAACGCATAACTCAGGAACCAATAGAGCTACAGCGCCGCGGAAAAGCGCATTCGATAGCCCTATTAACGATCTTTCTGAGTAACTCTCTCAGATTTGACCTAACGTCAACGGTTTTGCCTGCAGGGGGCAAAAACTGCAAAAATAGCCGATTTTTTCGGATGCAGTTTTTCTGCAATAACTTTTGACCCAAGCCTTGTACGAGCTTACTTTTACCGGCATCGTGTTCCTCTCGTCAAGACGCAGCGAATGAACCATAACTTGACCTTGAAAGGTCAACTTGAAAAGTTGACCTGAGGTCAAGGTCATGACCTGACCGGAAAGGGTCATGTTACATATCAGCCGATCGGTATTGTCGAGCTGAACACATCTAAGGCGTTTTCATCGCTCTAGCATGCCTCTATCAAAAGTTATTTGCGAAAAACTGTTAGATACCATTCGTGACCTAAGATGACCTCAGGGCATAAACAGGGGTCACGGACACCATGTTCATGTTCAGTGTGTCTAAACTACTTGTAATTCAGTGTTTGGGAGTGTTTATAATGTCTTTGGTCCAAAAGAGGCGCATTTCAATTTTCTCCCACTGACTTATAATGGGGAGGTCGCAAAATTGACCTGACCTTAGGTCATCGATATCAAAATTATGAGATATACATTTTGTACATGCTATTGATCTTAGCAATCGCTGAAAGTTTCAAAGTGATCGGTCACTCGGTGTAGCTATGACAGACATTGAAACTTTTTATGAGGTGAGGTCACTTCAAGTGACCTGGTGACCTGACCTTGAATGACCTTGGTCTGAACTTTTCACATCATGTGTAGAGTTGATGTATGATAAGGTGTACCAATGGGTAGAAGGGTGGCGATCAACAGGAGGGCGCCAATATGTAAGAGGGCCCCGATCAACAATCAACAGGAGGGTGCCACCAGGTGAGAGGGCGGCAAGGAACAGGAGAACACCAATAGATAGGAAGGTGGTGATCAACAAGAGGTCGCCAATGGGTAGGAGGGCGGTCATCAAGAGGAAGTCGCCAATGAGTGGAAGGGTGACGATCAACAGGAGGGTGGCAATGGTGAGGAGGGTGCTTTTGCCCAAGAGGATGACATTGAACAGGAGGGGACCTGTGAGGAGGGCGCCAATTTAACAGGAAAGTGCCAGTGGATAGGAGGGCGGTGGTCAACCTAGTTAGGAGGGCGCGAGTGGTTAGGAGGGCGGCGATTAACACGAGGGCGCCAATAGGTAGAAGGGCCCCGATTAGCATTCAACAGGGGGGGGGGGGCTAGGGAACCAATAGGTAGGAGGGCGCTAATGTCTAGAAGGGTGGCACTCAACAAGAGGGTGCCAAAAGGGAGGAGGGCGGCCATCAAAATTTCACGAGGGCGCAATAGGTGGGAGGGCGCCAATAATTATGAGGGTGCCGACCAGCAGAAGGGCGCCATTGTGTAGAGCAGGGTGGCGACCTACAGGTGGGCGCCTTCGGGTGAGAGGGCGCCTATTTACAGGAGAGCGCCAGTAGGTAGGAGTACACCGATCAAATGAGGGCGCCAGTGGGCAGGAGGACAGTGATCAACAGGCTTACGTAGGCGACTACCGCTACGCTTAGAGAGCTACAGCCTACAAATGCGGTTGGAGGGCGCCCGAGGGAGCCCTCCAATCGTATTTGGAGGGCGTATGTGGAATGGCGCCCTCCGAGGGCGCCCTCCAACCGTATTTTCCTTGCAAACACATTCGCGTTGGCGCCCTTCAGTCGCGATTGTTTTTCGATTCGATTCTATCACAATTGCATTTGCGATTGGACCATGGTTCAGTGGCCCCCCTCCCTGCCTACGCCCCTGTGAGTGTGAGTGTTCTTATTATACCGTATCTTGTCTAGGAACTGTGCCTCGACTGAAAAGCCCTCCTTGAGTGGATGTCGTATATTTAAATAAATAAATAAATGCACATTGTACACCCAGACACTTTGCAGTTATGCACATTTTGTATTTTGAGTAGAGACCTTAAACCGTTCGTCTGCTATCCTTTCGTCTCTTCATGTGTTACGGAACAAAACCCAGTAGAGGATGTTGCTATCGAAGGTGCCGTCGAAGCACGGAAGCTGCGACGACCACACATTCTTGATGGTTGCGCTTGTGTTTGTGGCTGTGTTTGGGCTTGTTGCCATGCTTCAGCTGCCGGCTGTGCACGGTGTACTGATGTGCAATACCGCTGACCACTGCCCTGTGTGTGTGTGTGTGTCCGCAGGCTCGGTGACCGCTGACCACTGCCCGGTGTGTGTGTGTGTGTGTGTGTGTGTGTGTGTGTGTGTGTGTGTGTGTGTGTGTGTGTGTGTGTGTGTGTGTGTGTGTGTGTGTGTGTGTGTGTGTGTGTGTGTGTGTGTGTCCGCAGGCTCGGTGACCGCTGACCACTGCCCGGTGTGTGTGTGTGTCCGCAGGCTCGGTGACCCGCTCCCAGTACCCCGTGTTCACGCTCTACCTACAGAAGATGTGCCTGAGTGGCGCGGCAGACGCCTGCCGGCGGCCCTGGGCCTTCGAGCGCGTGCCGGGCCACCAGCTGAGTGGCTACTCGCGTCGCCGCGTCGGCGCCAGCTCCGGCCGACACTGCCTGCAGCTCTGCCTGCACGAGCGCACATTCCCCTGCAGGTGAGACTCGCCGCTGGCCCGCGGCCGGCGGCTGCAGCGGCTGCTGGCCAGCTAACACTTAGATTTGTTTTACATAGGGTATCAGCTCCGAAAATAAAACATTCTGTGTTCCCGAAAAAGTAAAATATTTGCCAATGCCATTTACTTTTACATTTATGAAATAACTGGTAAATTGAATCATGCACGCATCTGGAATCTCCGACACGTAATGCATGAATGAACTAAGAGACAATAAAAGACAAGTTGCCCGCCTCGTCGATGAAAGGTCGAGCCGGTGGCGGCAGTATGTATTTTCCTCGGCTCCGGTGTTGGCTGCTGATGCCGTTCGAGTTACGCAGTCGGTAGCGGCAGTATGTATTTTCCTCGGCTCCGGTGTTGGCTGCTGATGCCGTTCGAGTTACGCAGTCGGTAGCGGCAGTATGTATTTTCCTCGGCTCCGGTGTTGGCTGCTGATGCCGTTCGAGTTACGCAGTCGGTAGCGGCAGTATGTATTTTCCTCGGCTCCGGTGTTGGCTGCTGATGTCGTTCGAGTTACGCAGTCGGTAGCGGCAGTATGTATTTTTCTCGGCTCCGGTGTTGGCTGCTGATGCCGTTCGAGTTACGCAGTCGGTAGCGGCAGTATGTATTTTCCTCGGCTCCGGTATTGGCTGCTGATGCCGTTCGAGTTACGCAGTCGGTAGCGGCAGTATGTATTTTCCTCGGCTCCGGTATTGGCTGCTGATGCCGTTCGAGTTACAAGTCCACGCACGCTACTGTTCAGCTGACTATGTCACAGCCGGCTGACTGCTGACGATAGCCACTGCCCGTGTCGGACGGACAGCGGGTGTCTGCCCGTGTCGGACGGTCAGCGGGTGTGTCTGCCCGTGTCGGACGGTCAGCGGGTGTCTGTCCGTGTCGGGCGGTCAGCAGGTGTCTGCCCGTGTCGGGCGGTCAGCAGGTGTCTGTCCGTGTCGGGCGGTCAGCGGGTGTGTCTGCTCGTGTCGGACGGTCAGCGGGTGTGTCTGCCCGTGTCGGACGGTCAGCGGGTGTCTGCCCGTGTCGGATTGGGTGTCGGCGGCGCCGTCAGCCTCTGACCGGCGCGTGGTGGCGGCGGCGGCGGCGCATCTGCGGCCGTGACGGTGCACCGTCACAATCTGACGCGCGTGTGGCGGCGCGTCACGGCACCCTGGTCGTTGGTGACGCGTGACGCTGCGGTCGGCCGCCGACCCCGGCCGGCGACCCCGCCGTCTGGCCGGGCCGCAATGGCCACTGAGTCTGTGCCACAGCGCAGCCATTGCGCAGCAAAGGAAACGCGAGGGAGCAGATCAACACGGATACACCGCCCACCCGGTCCTTATTGCGGCTTAGAATCGGCACCAGGGAAGTGGCGTGCGGACGCCGACGCCGAAAAGCAAGTTAGTAACGGAATGGGACTCATTGCCTTGGCTTTGTGACCTCCGGAACCGCAGATGGCATTCATGTCAGCCGCAGAATGAGGTCACTCAGAACTCAGCTGCGCTGCACAAACTGAAACGGTGCGGTGCTAGATTATGCGGAAGGTGACTGAACATTAAACAAACCTAAAGTGGCACTAACGGAAACGTCCCATTTCGGCCCGTCCTGGTTAAACTGAGGCAGCATGCGGCGTGACACAGCAGATTAGCCGGGGACAGGCGAGTGCGAGCGAGCTACAGCGTCGTCCCCGCTACGTATGTACGGCAAGTCACCGCTGCAAGTCAGCGTCCCGGAGCCGTGACCCGCTCAGCAGCGGCGGACACCGCCGACCCGACACCCGAATGGCGGCCGGCCCCGGCCACGGAGCCGCACCGCCCAGCGGCTCCTTCGCGAGCCAGGCCCGAGGCCCTGTTACCAGCTCTGGTGACAGACCCGCAGACCCTACAGACCCGACAGACTTCGCAGACTCGGTAGACCCGACAGACCTGACAAACACGACAAATCCGACAGACCCTCAGACACACAGACCTGACAGACCCGACAGACCCTCATGCGCACATCTCCTGGAGACTGGGCGGCTTTGGCGCTGTTGGGTCGCAGCCAGGAGCCCCGTGCAGCTGGCGAGCGACTGCGCCAGCCTTGTTCAGTGTTCAGTGGTAACATCAGTCAGAGGTCATCAGCGGCAGCCCTGCTGATGGCAGAGCGCCACCCTTACTTTAAAGAAGCGTTCGGTTAGTTGCGCTGGGAATGTTGGCACGGGACTGCGCCGATCCCGCAGCGGGATGACTGGTAAGTGCTCTCGGCTCTCTCTCGGCGTGAAGCGCCCACGCCGTGTCCGCATGCCCAGCAGCTCAGCACTCGACATGTAATGAACATCCTGGTATCTACATACATACCTACTGTTGGCGTCAGACCCCTGATACCCGATTTCTTCGCGATTATTACCTAATTCCGGTTTGTTCGAAATTCAACAAACTTTTTGGATTTTTCGGCTATTATATTCAAAAAATCTATTTTTTGATTTTTCGGGATCAAAATCCACAAATTTCAAAAATCCGAGATGGCAGTTTTGTAGCCCTTTTGATTTTACACCTTTTATGTCTGAAACATTTTTCTGTATCTCTAAAGCTGTAGGCCTGACAGCTCTTCCCGCACAACCTTTTTTGGGTCGAAAATGGCAGAAATTACGTCACTCTGACGTCATTTGCGGCCAACCTATCATAGCCTTTGGAAAAAAATCTGGTCACAATGTGCAATAGCTATTTACGGGAGGGTACTGAAAGTTTGGTGACGATCGGCGCAGCAGTTCTGGAGATATATCGAAAAAACTAAAGGGGGGGGGGGGCAAAAAATGCCTCCCCCACCGCCTGGAAGGTTAAATAAGTACGTCGCAGGTGAGGTCACCGATCCCCCACATCGGCGCCCAACAATGGGCACGCTCAGCGACGCCGAGGAGTCTGAGCCGGACCACTTAGGACTACCGCTCGCCTCTGGACCGTCACCTCCAGTTCGAGCTGCCACTCCGCTGGATCCAGCCCGGGCCACAGCACCAGTGCGAATCACGACATCGGTTCCTCCCTCGTCAGAGGTGGCTGCAGCAGAGATGTCAATACCGCCATCCAAGCTGGACCTCGCCGAATCCGAGTGGAAGCCGTCACAGGCTAACGAAGACAAGAACTGTGAACCGCAGGAGGTTAAAATACGGCAAACAGATGTGACAGAGGCCTCTGAACAGGCACAGCTGCCAGAGCCCCACGTGGGGGACGACCTGTCGGTGTGCCCGGCGAACCTGGCCGGTGACCACGCGTACCAGCTAGTAGGCGTGGTAAGCCACTATGGCGGCGATAGTCACGCAGGCCACTTCGTGGCCACCGTTTACAGCGCTGAACGCGAATGCTGGTTCCGCTACGATGACCACCGAGTTAGTCGAATCCGCGAATCGGATGCACTCGGTGAAAGCCAGCAGAGAGATGGCTACATGTTTTTCTACACACTTGAAAAGTTGCGAACCCAGACAGAAAAGTGGCCAATGCTGAAATGTCAGCAACGGCTCTGGAGCGGGGAGGGGGAAAGGGCCGCACTCACCCGTCAGTGTTTGTAATGTGGTGACGTCAGGATGATATGTGCCTAAATCGCATGTTTTTTTAGATACTCTGGCTTCATGTTATCAGATCACAATAATCATATACATATGTACATAAGACAAACAATATAATATTTGACGGCTAAATGATCTGGTTTGGAAATAATATCCAGCGCATCGAGGTGCCCGTGTCTGATAAGCATGCTTTCTACTTCAGAACATGTCAATCAATCAATCAATCAATTTTTATTTAACATCCCATCATATAGGGACAAAGCATATTGGCATGATACAATACAAGATGGCTAACACAGTTACACAATACACATCATATTCATGTAACACAAAGTACAAACAGCTGTTCTTTGTAGCCTGTTCAGCGCAAACCAGTAATCCCGCAAACTTTAACGGGAGTGCTACGATGATACTCGTTGGGGTAAGACGAGCATATGGATCATGGCCCAGGCGTCGCCATTGTTCTGGGCCAGTAGCCAGCGCAGTGAGTCGGCAATACCATCCACTCGTCTAGGAGCGCTAATCAGGTCTCGTGACACATGCCCCCAGCAACTCTCAATAGTGTTTCATAGTTCATCCCACACAGTGAGAGCATGTGACTTACAAGGGAGCCTGGGCGGCGCAAACGGGTCGAATTGAGCGCAATGTGAGCCAAATCACTTAACACGCGCAGTGGAAGGGGGGGCGGATTTCGCCCACCCCTCCTGTTTTTCGCCAATAACTCGCGCCGCAAGCATGATATTAATGTGAAATTTTGTCTACCTGTCCAGAATTGAACTGCAGATCTTCTCGTGCAAGAAATAAAAAAATCGGGTCGCAACTTTTCTAGTAATAGCGGTGTAAAGTCAAACATCCTGCCGCCGCGGCGGCGCGGCGGCGCGGCGGCCGGCGCTAGCCGTTACGCGCCGCCTGAATTGTAGACTGTGCCGGGGCGGGACGGTTCCGTCTTTACATCGCGCTCCTTACCGCTGATTATATTCGATTCACGTCAAATTTTGTGAGAAGACTAAGAAATGTACAGGCAATCTTATGGTCAAATAATTTTGAAAATCGGCCGGTAACAACTTGAGTTATGAGTGTGTAAACACAAAATTGTGATTGCCGCGTTTCCCGCGTCCGCCGATCCCGCTTCAGCCGGCGACATCTTACGCTTAGCAGGCTTCTAACTGCCATATTTATTGTTGGATTAACAAGAAATTCATCATTCATACTCACAAATGTATGTCCTTTCGTATAGGGAAAGACAAAAGAAAATCGGCCGGTAACTTTTTGAGTTATCGGCGTGTAAACGCAAAAAAGTCGCTAATATGGCAGATTTGACCACTTTTGACCTCATTTGACCTTGAAGATATTGACCTAGGGTCATGAAATTCACACACAACAGAGTTCCCCTGGGCCCCCACCTACCCTCCAAATTTCGTCTTTCTAGCTCCAGTGGGAGCTGAGATCTTAGGGGGGGGGGGCGACA